TGTTGATTACAGCTTTGTAATAGAGCTTAAAGTCCAGGATTGTGATACCACCAGCTTTGGTTTTCTTTTTCAATATTCCTTTGGCTATTCAGGGTCTTTTCTGGTTCCATACAAATTTTAGGATTATTTGTTACAGATTTGTGAAAAAAGTTGATGGTATTTTGACAGAGATTGTGTTGCATATGTGGACTGCTCTAGGCAGCACAGACATTTTTACAATATTTGTTCTTCCAATCCATGAGCATGGAACGTTGTTTCATTTCTTTGTGTCTTCCTCAATTTCTTTCATGAGTTTTCTATAGTTTTCTGAGTACAGATCCTTTGCCACTGGTTAGGTTTATTCCTATGCATCTTATGGTTTTGGGTGCAATCATAAATGGGACTGAATCCTTAATTTCTCTTTCTCTGTCTTGCTGTTGGTGTTTAAAAATGCAAATGATTTCTGTGCATTGATTTTATATCTTGACACTTTACTGAATTCCCATATGAGTTCTAGCAGTTTGGGGGTAGAGTCTTTTGGGTTTTCCACATAAAGCATCATATCATCTGGAGAGAGTGAGAGTTTGACTTCTTCTTTGCCAATTCAGATGCCTTTTATTTCTTTTTGTTGTCTGATTGCTGAGGCTAGGACTTCTAGTACTATGTTGAACGGTGGCAGTGGTGATAGTGGACATCCCTGCTGTGTTCCTGACCTTACGGGAAAAATCTCTCAGTTTTTCCCCATTGAGAATGATATTCGCTGTGGGTTTTTCATAGATGGCTTTGATGATATTGAGGTATGTACCCCCTATCCCTATACTGTGAAGAGTTTTGATCAAGAAAGGATGCTGTACTTTGTCATAATGCTTTATCTGCATCTACTGAGAGAATCATATGGTTCTTATCCTATCTTTTATTAATGTAATGTATCACATCGATTGATTTGCAGATGTTGAACCAACCTTGCAGCCCAGGAATAAATCCCACTTTGTCCTGATGAAGAATCCTTTTAATGTACTGTTGGATCCTCCTGGCTAATATTTTGGTTAGACTTTTTGCATCCATGTTCATCAGGGAAACTGGTCTATAATTTTCCTTTTTGGTGGGGTCATTGTCTGGTTTTGGGATCAAGGTAATGTTGGCTTCTTAAAAAGAGTTTGGAAGTCTTCCTTCCATTTCTATTTTTTGAAACACTTTCAGAAGAATAAGTACTAATGCAAACCAACTTTTAATTTCTATTTATCATGCAGCCATTAAAAAAAAATGAAATCTTGTCATTTGCAACAATGTGGATGGAACTAAAGGGTATTATGCTAAGCGACATAAGTCAATCAGAGAAAGACAATTATTATATGATCTCACTGATATGTGGAATTTAAGAAACAAGGCAGAGGATCATAGGGGAAGAGAGGAAAAAAATGAAACAAGATGAAACTAGAGAGGGAGACAAACCATAAGCGACTCTTAATCTCAGGGAACAAACTGAGGGTTGCTGGAGTGGATGGGAGTGGTAGGGATGGTATGGCTTGGTGATGGACAATGGAGAAGGTGTGTGTTGTGGTGAGCGCTGTGTGTTGTGTAAGACTGATGAATCACAGACCTGTACCCTTGAAACAATACATTCTATGTTAATAATAAAATTTTTTTTTAAAGAATCAACAATGGACAGTAAATTAGTGGATTAAACTATAAGAAACAGGCTATTGCATTATTTTAGTATTTCTCCACAAGTATTTTATTAATTCCAAAGATAAAAATAAATAAATAAATCTTTAAACTGTGTTTAGATTCAAACAAACAAAAAAATTCCAACTTCAACATTAAACCTATTCTGCAAACAGAAAATCCATTTAAAATGTTGATAACTGTGAAAACTCTCAACAAAGTGGGTTTAGAGGGAAATATGTTAACATAATAAAGGCCATATATTAAAAACTCATAGCTAACATTTATACTCAGTAGTGAAAAACAGAATTTTCCTCTAAGATCAAGAATAAGACTAAGGGGACGCCTGGGTGGCTCAGTTGGTTAAGCAGCTGCCTTCGGCTCAGGTCATGATCCCAGCGTCCTGGGATCGAGTCCCGCATCGGGCTCCTTGCTCATCGGGGAGCCTGCTTCTCCCTCTGCCTCTGCCTGCCGTTCTGTCTGCGTGTGCTTGCTCTCTCTCCCTCTCTCTCTCTCTGACAAATAAAGAAATAAAATCTTAAAAAAAAAAAAAAAGAATAAGACTAGGCTGTACACTCTTGCCACTTTTATTCATACTCGAAGTTCTAGCCACAGCAATCAGACAAGAAAAAGAAACAAAAAGCTTCCAAATTGGTAAGAAAGAAGATAAACTGTCACTATTTGCAGATGACATGGTACTGTACATAGAAAACCCTAAAGTCTCCACAAAGAAAAAACCATGAGAACTAATAAATTAAGTAAAGTTGCAGGATACAAAGTTAACATACAGTAATCAGTGCATTTTTTAACATCAATAAGTAGCAGAAAGAGAAATTAAGAAAACAATTCCATTTATAATTGTACCAAAAAGAATAAGACGACTAGTAATAAACTTAACCAAGGAGGTGAAAGACCTGCACTCTGAAAACTATAAATCACTCATGAAAGAAAATTAAAATAACACAACAAATGGAAAGATGTTCCATGCTCATGAATTGGAAGAATTAATATTGTTAAAATGTCCATACTACCCAAAGCAGTCTATAATTTCAATACAATCTCTATCAAAATACCCACTGACTTATTTAACTTAGCATAATAACATCTATGTCTACAGTGTTTTACACAGAACTAGAACAAATTAATACTAAGATGTGTATGGAACTACAAAGAAAAGACCCTGAAAAGCCAAAGCAATCTAGTGAAAGAAGAACAAAGCTGGACATATTACAATCCTAGATTTTAAGATACACTTCAAAACGGTAGCATAAGTAGTAACAGTGTGAAACTGCACAAGAATAGACACACAGATCAATGGAACAGAATATAGAGCCCATAAATAAACCCTCATTTTTATGGGCAATTAATCTACAACAAAGGAGGCAAGAATATAGAGTGGGGAAATGAAAGTCTCTTCAATAAATGGTACTGCGAAACTGGACAGCAACATGCAAAACAATGAAGCTGAACCACTTTCTTACACTACACACAAAAATAAACTCAAAATGGATTATAGATCTAAATATGAGACATGAAACCACAGAACTCCTAGCACAAAGCATAGGCAGTGATTTCTTTGACATTGGCCTTAATACATTTTCCTACATACATCTCCTCAGGCAAGGGAAACAAAAGCAAACATAAACTATTGGGACTACACCAAAATAAAAAGCTTTTTGCACAGCAAAATAAAAAGGCAACCTACCAACTGGGAGAAGATATTTGCAAATGATACATCTAATAAGGGCTTAATATCCAAAATTTATAAAGAACTTATACAATTAACACCAAAAAATAAACAATCCAATTAAAAATGGGCAAATGACCTGAATAGACATTTTTCCAAAGCAGACATACAGATGGTCAAGAGACATGTGAAAAGACACTCAACATCACTAATCATCAAGGGAATGTAAATCAAAACCACAATGAGATACCACGTTACATATGTAAGAATGGCCAGAATCAAAAAAGACAAGAAATAATAAGTATTTGCAAGAATGTGTAGGAAAAGGAAATCTCGTGCACTGTTGGTGGGAACGCAAACTGGTGTAGCCACTGTGGGAAACAATATGGAGTTTCCTCAAAAAATTAAAATTAGAATTACCATATGATCCAGTAATTACACTACTGGGTGTTTACCCAAAGAAAATGAGAACACTAATTCAAAAAGATATACCTATCCCTGTTCATGGCAGCACTATTTATACTAATCAACATACGAAAGCAACCCAAGCATCCATCAGTAGATGAATGGATAAAGAAGAGGTGGTGTATACGTGTACACACACACACACACACACACATACACACAGGAATACTACTCATCCATAAAAAAAGAATTGAGATCTTCCCATTTGTAACCATGGATAGACATAGATGTTATTATGCTAAGTGAAATAAGTCAGACAGAGAAAGACAAATATCATATGATTTCACTTATATGTGGAATCTAAAAAACAAATGAATAAAAAAACAAAAGCAAAATCGGACCTATGAATACAGAGAAATACAGAGAAGAAGAAGCAGATGGTTGCCAGACCGGAGTAGGTAAGGGAGATGGGCAAAATGCGTGAAGGGGAGTGAGAGGTACAGGCTTCCAGTGCTGGAGTGAATAAGTCACAAGTGTGAAAGGTACAGGGAGGGAACATGGTCATTGGTACGGTGGTCAGGTTGTATGGTGGTAAACACAGAATAAGGTATAGACTTGTCAAATCACCATGTTGTACACTCGACACTAAAGTAACATTGTGTGTCAACTCAACTTCAATTTTAAAAAAAATGTTTGCAACTGTGGATTTTATGTTTAAGGGACAACCTCTCACGAGACACATTCTCTTCTGGGAAACTGACACAACCGTGGTGGCTAACACCATTTCTGGAGAATAACAGTGAGATGGCTCAGCTCGGCACGGAAGCATGGATTTCTCACATACTCGGGTAACTCAGGGACCTCACTGAGGCCGTTATGTGAGATTTTCATTCTGCTTCCTCTTGGTCCCCTCGAAGTCTGACAGCTAAGCCGCTGTTGGTTTGAATTTGCCTCTGCAGTCCCCGCGCCTGGCCGGAAAGCACACACCAGGCCTCAGTCGGGCGAGCGGCCCCTTTAAGGAAGCAAGCGCTGCCCTGATTGGCCGAGCTTTGGCGTCCCTGTCTAGGCCGTCCAGACCCGCCCGAGGCTCTGCCTGGCGAGTCCCGGCCCAGTCGCGATCAACGGGATCCCCGGGGTCTGCAGGCCTTTGCAGCGAGTACGGTCCCTCCGCACCTCCGCCGCCTGGGGCCCAGTGAGTGAGCGCCGGTCGGACAGCCCGCATTCCGAGAGCTGGGGTGGGGGGGCCGGGCCGCCGGGCCGCGCTGGCCCACTCCTTGGGAGCACCTCCAGTTGGCTCCCCTCCCTCCCCCAGGGCTGACCTGTATCTCCAGCCTCGCTTCCAAAGACCGCTCGGAAGGACTCCTGGCCCCTCCCGTATCAATGTAACGCAGTTGGGGGAAAGTAGGCAGGGCATTTTTAACGGAAATAATCTCAGGACTGCAGGAAATACCCGAGTTACAACAATGGGTCTACACTAGGGAAAACCTCCCGGAAGCTGTAGGTTGGTTCAGAGCTGGAATACTTAGGGGAAGTGGCCCAGTTTGAATGGAACATAAAAAAAAAAACAGAAACCGAATGAAATTATGCCACCAGTCATAAATGTGTGTAATGTGTTATCTGATCAGGAAATTAATCAGCACAGACATGTGGATGACAAGAGGTCATGGGTCATGAACTTCTCTCTCTCTCTCTCTCTCTTTTTCAGTAAGTAAAATAAAATCCTTGTTCCCAGGGTGACTGGAGGAAGGCTGCCTGGAGCTTGCTGCCCCTGCACTCCTCAGAAGTACCCCTTCCCATTGTAAACTATGGCACAGACGAAAGGGGCTGGGGCATTAAAGAGCCCTTTCTAAGGTCTCAGGAATAATCAAAGGAAAAATGAAGGCAGAAGAGACCAAATCAGCACTCTAAGCCCTCTGAGACACACTGGTATCTTAGTTGTAAATAGTGAAACATTTGTCACCAGTGATAAAGTGCTGGAATTTTTGAAGGACTTAACCTTATTCAATTGAGTGAGTTCAAAATTGTCCCTATTACAAGATCACTCTTGCTTGATTTTATAGAGAGAAAGCTGAGAGTATTCTGGGCGTCCTAAGGAACCTCCTAGACTTTGGAAAATGGCTTTGTTAGGATGGGGAAGGAGACGGAAGTTGACAATACTGAACCCCAGGGCATAGTTCACAAGGTGTTGTACACTCACTTTCAGTTGTGGTTTCTGTTGAGGAAAAGAGGGAAGTTCTTCACCCTGCTTGGATTCTACCTTTAACCCGTGGGAGTGTTCTCTGACACATCCAAAATACCATCCAGACTCAAGAAACCAAGGTCCAAAACCAGGTAAGTCTACACCCTAACCTTCCAGATAGTTTCTCTTCCCTAGAGGGCTCACATGAGGACTATCTCTCCACTTCAGGAGAGGTCCCACCCCCTTATAAACAGGAGCCCTCTAAGAGACATAGTTCTGTGATAAATGGTGTGTATGTGTAGGAGTAGGATTAGAGGACAGTTGTTTCCTTTATAATGTTTACAACATATGGAAAAATTCAATCATCTACTCCTATGCACAGAAAAAAAAGGAATGGAAAGTGACCTGAGCTAGGTTTCTCTTGTACCAGTCATGCTCTATGCAAACATTTATGGGAAAAAGACGTTATGGGGACTGCCCAGATGGAAAACATTGCTCCTTCCTTCAAGCAAGTTTTGGTCTGCTGTTGGAGACAGCTGACTTGTGGGGGAGGGGTGGTGTCAAAGTCTGCAGAAAGGAAAGAACTTCTGTAAGGTCTCCCTATCCTCATGCGGTGGCCTCTAACTCTCTGGACAGAGAGGATGGAGTGGGGCAGTGGCAGAGGGACAGGGAAACCTCATGACCTGCCTGTTCTGTACAGTTCAGTTTCCTATGTCCATCATTGAGGCTGACTCTGGCTCAGAGGTTCCTATCATTCAAAGATGCAACCTTGGCCATAATACAGGGAAGACACTGAGGATGGCTTGCAGTTCCCACTCACGCGGAGCCAAATTAGCAAGGATAACACATTCTACCTATCTGGCATGAAATGCCCTTCCTTCCCCCAGTATCTTCTCCTCAGTTAACCAGAACCTACTACTTCCTGATGAGGATAGGGAAAAATAGAAGCTCTGCTGGTTTCTCACAGAAGAGTGTGAATTTGGGGTAGAAAGCATTGAGACTGACCACTCTGACCTAAGGTTCACAACCCTTCTGAGTAGCTTACCAAAGAAAACCAGTAATATTACTGGAAATAGAGCAGTTGTAACATCCCTGAGTTTTGCAGTCTTCTGAAAGTAAAATTAACAACTAACTGAAGGCCTTCTGTAACTATACAATTGGATTAAGAACAAAAAATTGAAATTTGGGCCCCCTAGAAGTGATGGCCCACTTAAGAACTTTTTTTTCTTTTAAGATTTTATTTATTTCTTTAACAGACAGAGATCACAAGTAGGCAGAGAGGCAGGCAGAGAGAGAAGAGGAAGCAGGCTCACCGCTGAGCACAGAGGCTGATGTGGTGCTCGATCCCAGGACCCTGAGCTCATGACCTGAGCCAAAGGCAGAGGCTTAACCCACTGAGCTGCCCAGGTGCCCCAAGAACTTCTTAAGTAAGATAAATAAGACAGGCAATGCCATGTATTCATTTAAAAATTGCTTTTCTCAGGACATTTAAGTATCATTTTGTTCTTCCCCTCTTGAGAACTTCGGCAGTAGCCTGAAGAGAACAAAGGTGAAGCCAGAAGAGGAAGACTAAGGGATATTAGCAGTGCATGACAGAATAAGGGGTACTGTAGGAGAGAGGCAGGGATTACAGCAAGAGTACTGACATAGTGACCTTGAGACACCTAAAACTCCCTAAAACACAAATGCAAGGAGCACAGAGAAATCTCTCCTCAAGGAGTACAATGCATCTTCTGAATCACCCCTTCTCAAAAGCAAAGTTTCTGTCATCCAGCTGTATAGGATGTCAGAGAATGGATGGTGTCCACCCTGTCGCTCACAGAAAAGAGTGGTCTCTTTGTTCGTTTGTAAGCATTCAGTTCTCTAAGATTTACAGTGGGAAGAAAAATTAGAAACATGGAGCTGTATGGCTATAGGGCAGGAGAAGATTTTGGAAGTTGTCTAAGTTTAGTCCCCTGGTCTTAGGTGAGCAAATGTTGAGCAGGCTGGTTATGTTTGCCCAAGATCAGACAGCTAGTTAGAAGCAAGAACTATAATCTACACCGTGTTCCCAGGAAATCTGTCTTATTTTTTTCTTTTTACATTGTTATAAGCTTACGGTAGCCCAAAGCAGAGCATATGAGGATATACGTAAACTGTATTGTTTTAAGCCTCTTTGCTTTTTCACATTTTAGGTCAAGATGGGATTTATATTTTCAAAATCCATGAGTGAAAACATGAAAAACCAACAGGAGTTTATGCTTATGAATGCTCGACTCCAGGTACATTTTCAAATAATTAAGCTTTTATGTTGTTACAGTGGTTAAAGTTTCTGTGACATGTACTCCAGAAGTACTGTTCTCTTTGACCTCAAAAGGTAAAATATTCTTGGGGGCTCTATCCTCAGGATCAAGATGAAATGCACTATTAATTATCTGGTGAATGGGTGTGTTTAGATCTCCAATCCAGATACTTTTTAAAAATTTCCATCCTGAAGTAAGACATACCCGCTTAGAGTGTAGGGTAGGTAGAATGAGGCCGCTCCCCTCACCACGTATCTGCAACCTAATCCTCTGTGAACACCTTGCCTTTCATAGCAAAAGGGACTTTGCAATGTGATTAAGTTAAGGAGTTTGTGATAGGGAAGATTCTGGGTTATCCTAGATTATCTGGATGGGCTCAAGGTAATCACAAAGGTCCTTATAAAGAATACAAGGATGTATTCTAATGAATGGCAAAGGAATTCAGGTAGCCTCTAGGAGCTGGAAAAAGAAAGTATATGGATTCTCTCCTAGAGCTGAGAGAGGGAGTACAATCTCACCAGCCACCCACTTTGGATTTCTGACTGCAGAACTATAAGATAATAAATTTATGTTGTTTTAAGCCACTAACATTGATAATTTGTTATAGTGACAATAGGAAATTAATATACAGGGTAAAAACTTGACACTGGGTTTATACATAGGCTAGATAGAAAAGATCAAAGCAAAGTAGAAGATTGTCTGATTGCCTAATATCAGTTGTCAAAAAGGATTTTAAATTGTTGGATGTCATAGTCAAGTGTTAAAAGTTTGACTAAAATTATTTTCCTAAGATTTCAAATGAAGATCTCTTGACCTTTGGGGTTCAATATGGCCCTGGGAGTAAAAGATCCTACTGTGAGGCAGTATGGCGAATGATTAAAAGTAAGGACTAAAGCCAGACTAACTAGGTTTGAATCCCACTCTACCCTTCGCTGACAGTATGATGTGGGCCTCAGTTTACTAGTCTGTCAACTGGAGATGACAGTATCCCCTTCAGAGGGTTGTTTTGAAGAGTAATAACGGTAGTGTACAGAGAGTATACAGAACAATGTATACAATGTATAGAGCACAGAACAATGCCTCAAGTCTTCAGGACAGTGTCTCTCACTTTAAAAGTATTAGTTGTTGCTACTGTTATTATTGCTATGAAGAGTGTCTTCTGCAGGATAATGATTTCTTTTGGGAGAATGGAACAATTTAAAGATTGGGAACTGAATTGTTGTAACAGAACAGAATGACATAGGGGAGGACCAAACATTAGGCATACACACCAGCCAAGAATGTCATACACCCAGAGAACTCTTATCCAAGACCTTTGGAAACTACAGACTTTTACATCAGTGAAGTCAGAATATGTGAAGGTCTGGGATTGTATTCCACCTGCAAGCTCGTTAATTAGCCTGTTACTGTTTCATGGACGCTGGCAGAATATAGGAGATACTTCCATCAGAGACAAAGGACTTCATTACTCATAGCACAGTGAGCAATATGATCATGAGGTTGGTATGAGTATCCCTATGTCCCTCAAGTCTCATAGAGGTGATTAAGATGGACTTAAATGGGTGCTGTGCACTCAATGGGTGTATGGCACATTTGAGGAACACTGGGCTTGGGGAATCTACTGCTTTTATAGTGGTTAGTGAGCCAGAAGAGTTGGGGGAAGACTTGACCTTATCCTTGAAGGTCATTTACTGTAAACACAACCCAGACAAATGGCCTGTAAAGAACAGTCTGGGCCTTGCATTCTTGGCCTACTCAGCAAGAATGTGTGGGGACATTCAGGGCCCATGTACAGTTACACCTCCCAACAATCTGCCCCTCAGCCCAGCCGACCAGCCTTGATTTCGGCCCACTGATCGCAGTGACCAGTATAGCTAGTGCTGAGTTCAAACGAGCAGGAGCACTATTGGCACCGTCAGTTTTCCAGCTTAGCTGAACCAAAGGTAAACCAGGCCCATGCATTTGTGAGAATCTCTGTGGATCCAAGGGCCCTGTTAAGCCAGTAGCTCTACTTCATGTGGCAGAGTAGGAGCTGAAGATTTTCCCAAAGGGGTAGCTACTACTCCTTTATGCAAAACTGAGGTGACAGTAGGGCCAGGCCAGTCATACCCTCAACTATGTCTTTATTTGACCAGCAAACAGGCCCTTTCCTTATAATTGTCATGTCCTAGTTGACCCACCCCAAGATGGGGTTGAGGCTGGAGAGCCACAAGCCTCCATGGGTCAGATATTCATTTTTAACAAGAGCTCAGTTGTAGCCAGTAGCTGCCTCCCCTTTTTGAAAGGAGTATGCTGTGGGTTGAACTGTGTGTCCTTCCCACTATTCTTAATTAAGTTAAAGTCCTAACCCCTGCTATCTCAGAATGATATATTTGGAGAGAGAGTCTTTACAGAGTCAATCAAGTTAAAATGAAGTCATTAGGATGAGCCCTAATCCAATATATGACTGCTGTCCTCATAAAATGGGGAAATTTGGACAGAGGTGTGCCTACAGAGAGGATGCTGTGGGGCTATGAAGCAGCTATTTATGAGGCAAGGAGAGAGGTGTGGAACAGATCCTCACACAGCCCTGGAAAGGAACCAACCCTGCTGACACCTTAATTTTGGACTTCTAGCCTCTGGAATGGAGACAATAAATTTCTGTTGTTAAGCCACCTAATTTGTGGTGTGCTTTGTTATAGCAGCCCCAGAAACTAGGAGGTATTTGGTGCCTGTGTTTGCAGGTGGTGATTGGCTGTGATTTTTCTCTTTTTCTCCTTGGGACTCTATATTGTTTCTAAAAGACCACCTGGAAGGGGTCAGGGAATCCCTGAATGAGAGAATGTCTCTTTATTACTATGAATATTTACAATATAAGCAAGTAACACATCAATTTCATTATACATTTATATGCAGGGGACATAACTGCAGTATCCTGAATTGGCTCAAGGGTCACTTTCATTTCCCTTTCTTACTGCAAATGTTGCTCAAACTCTTATCAGTTGAATTCCAATGCTTTTTTTTCCCCCATGGGAACACAGACCAAAGAATTTAACACAGGGGTTAAACAGTTGTCCTAGCTGAGGTTATCTCCGAAGTTAAGGAGACTATACTGTCTCACAGCTGCAGACGATGGGGAGTGCAAAGGGACAAGGACAGCCTTTTGCCCTTTGGCTCCTCATTCCAGAATTGATGCTGCTTCCTCCCCGGCACACCCCTGGTTGCTGGAGGTAACTGGTGTTCAGGGCCCTCATTCTTTTAGCCTCTACTGGGTCGTTGCTCGGCCTTGCACCCTCAGCTCTTAAAGCCATCCTGGTGCTGAGTTCACCCTCCCCACATGGGACCAAGTGTACTTGGGCACCTGTATCCAACGGAGCTATAAACAGTTGAATTCCTCCTCTCTCCTCTCTGAATGAAGTTCTTCAGCATATCTAACCTTCCTCCCTAAAGCAACTGAAGTTGGGACGAGAGAGTAGCTGAGTGCCAGTAAGCAAGGCTTTGCATTTCTTCTCCATTTCAAAGGGCCTCCCTTCAGCTACAGCCACATTGCCAGGCCTTTTGGCAGGGCTGTGGGACTTGCTACCCCATCTTCTTGGTAACATTCTTTCCCTCTCCCACTCCACAGGACAACAGGCCACAATCACAGCACCCCCAGGGCAGCTTATTTGAATTCTACCTTTTGTTGTTCAGCGCCATTTAACCCACTGGACAGTGAGAGACCCTTCTTATTCCTTCCCATTCTTACCACCACCTGGGTGAGACAATTTCCTACCAGATCCCAGAAAGCCTTTTCATATCTAATAACCCAACCAATGAGGTCCCTTTCAGAATGTCCTTTGGCTTTCAGAATGCCATGTCTCTGTTAGTATCTCTTCCTTGTCGCTCAAACTGGCAGGCTCTGTGATTTTACCCATCTGGCAGGTTAACAATGTAATCCTTTGCTGCTTCACAGATATTGGCGGAAGACTCGATACAACGCTGCAAGCAGCCTGAGTGTGTATGTTCATTATCTACTACTTTAGCCATGAGTGGTCATCTAGGTTGCTCTTAGGTGAGACATGTTACTTCATCTCTCAGGTTCCTTACTGCAAACATAATTCTGAGAAATGGCCCATGTAAACAGCAGTCAGAGCCTGTATCCTTGGCTCACCCAGTAAAAAGTACCGGTTGCTCCTGGCCCACACAGATTGATTCTCCCAACATGTGTTTGGCTAAGAAGATTAGTTTTTCCTTGTTGATCAGGATAAACTTTATTAATTATCTTCTAATTTTAACGAAAGATGACAAAGAGGATATAGATCAACATGGCTGAAGCAGCTTTCCAACCCTAAAGCTACTTAAGTTCTGATCCTAACTAGAACAGGCTAGAGAGAAAAAAATCTGTGGAAATTCTGGAAAATCAGGTGGTCCTCAAATGTTCCCCATTTAAAAGAAACTTCTAACATCATTCCTAGAGCTTAGAGCTATTCTTTTATTGAAAAAAAAAGTATCACAAAACATTTGATACATACTGGAGAATGTATTTATAAGTTTTGAGGCATAATAAAATGAGCACCAATGATCACAATACCCCTGAAGCTACTGATAGGTATGTTCCATCCTACATGTTGAGTGAACCCAGACAGCTAAAGCTGACCTGGAATCTCATATCCCAGAGCCCCGGAGACTGAGAAGGACTCAGCAAATGTAAAGAATGAGCCACTGGAATAGAAGATTACATGCCTTTGCGACTTCTTTAAAAGATTTTTTTAAATCCCAGTTGAAACACCATATATACTAATGCCTTTAGCTTGTGATAGTATGTCTTTTGGCTCCTTTCCAAAATAGGGCATCTCAATAAAAGGGGTAAATAGAAGAAATAAAGCAAAACTTATAGTAAAGAAAAGCCTAATGACTAGAATCCTTTGCCAATGGCTTTTTCTTAGTTCTACTTTTTATTTTAATTTTTTTTGGTAAAAAAAGAAATCATAACTCAATAATCCCATATTATTGGGTTCTTT